CCCTTCCGACCCTAGAAACTATGAAACTATGAAATGAAGTATTAGAGAATAGTCATAAATCCTGGGAATGTGAAAGCTGACCCCCATCTTTAATATCTGTGAAGCATTTTTTTAAACAGGGCATGCATGATAGGACGAATAAATATTCCTTATTATCCTCATTCCATAGCTTAAACATGATTTTTTCAAGGTAAATTTAGATCCAGATGTGTTCCTATGAAACTCAGGATCCAGTATGGCAATAATGATTGACCTGCAGTAGATGCTCATTGATTTCTCCTTTAAATATTACAGTAATTTATATTTATACATTCCCATAGCAGACCTTAAAAATTCTGTCTGGTGCCCGATAGTTAAACAAGTATTTGCTGTTAGATAACCTTCGAAGTTGCAGCATTCAAGGTAGTTCCTATATTAAGTATGAGAAAATACAGGAGAACACTACAGACACTGATGTAACCAGATTTTTCTATGTTATAGAACACTGACAACTGTTTTAAAAATAACCCTTGTATACTACGCTCCATATTTCCCTGGTGTAACTTCAGTGAATCTAGTGACATGCTTTTATGTCATAATATGCTGCTGTTATGCTGATGTAAAAATCCATTAGCCCTGGCGCTTGTTATATTCACCAGAGGCTTTGCTATTTTAATGGCTTGCCTTAAAATATATGCTTTAAAAAAGGGACAATATGTTGGGGCACAGTAATGAAAGAGCAATACTTTTAATGCCAAAACTTATATACAGTAAATGAATATTTTCATTCTTACCACAAGACTGCTGTCCAGAGAAAATCTTTTCCCAAATTCCCTTTTCTGTAGCTGTCTTTTTCTCTCCATGGATGAGGTTATTTGTTTTCCTTTTGCTGTACTAGAAATATCAGGCTGTTTCCAGCATCACTGAAAAAATTAAAAGCACATTTCAATATTCTGGTTAACAGTTTCTGTCTTTCATCATTAACTTTTTAATAACCCAACAGTTAATGACTTAGCGTATAGAGTAGGCTATGTTCCAGGAACATGTTTTGTGTGCCAAAAGAACGGATGTGTCCAGACAGAAATGTGAACTGAACATATTGGTAATATCTCAACCAAAAGAGAAAAAAAACAATCTATGTTGATACTGTCCTTGGTTGCCTTTATCAGGGCACTCTGTGTTTTTATAGTCTTTACTAACAGAGCTGGGAAATGTGTTTGCAGAGCTAATCAGCTGTCTGAGAAAAAAAAACAAACAGTTCATTTCATGTTATTCACACTCTTCAGGAAGCCCTGCTTGCAGGCATCCCTGTATCTATGAGGCACAAATCCTGCAAGAGTCCGTGTGCATTCAACTTCAATTATTCTTTAGGGAAACAGAGCAACCTGACCACCGTTCCTAGATTTGAGAGGCCAGAAGGTTCAGTTGTGATCATCCTCTAATTTGAACCCTAGCACAACACAAGCCATGCAATATCACCCAGTAAATCCTATAATGGAGGTAATTATCTTTTCCTGCTGTAGAGGACTGGGCTTATGGTTGCTGACATTTTTCTATTAAGTCTATTTCCAGGTCATAATTTACCACTTGTAGCAAAAAAAAAAAAAAAAAAAATCCCAACATGTCCATGATAACAGGATACTTATTTCAAAGCTTTAAACTTGTAAAACATGCAGCTGACATTTGTATAGTGTGCTTTGGGAATATAGGCCAGATTTTATCTCAGCTGCACTCATGTAAATCTTGGGTAACTCTGCTGAAGTTAATGAAATTATTCTGGATTTACGATGGGGTAACTGAGATTAAAATCTGGCCCAGATCAAGACAGAGAGATATGTAGATGAACATAAAGCCAAATATAGGACATTCCTCCCCCAATTCATATTGAGTCCATCTATAATGTCAAAGGACAACAGTCTAGAGCTGTTACTCTGGGCTGACTCCCAGTAAAGCCAAAGGGAGTTTTCAGTGTACAAGGGCTATGGGATTTTGTCCAAAATGTTTATTCAAGAGCTGTTTTAAAAATATGAGATTTGTAAAAAATAATAGTTTTGCATTCTTGCGATTAGTGCTAAACCCATCAAATATAGTGGGAAATCACACAGATAGAGGGCAGAATCTGGATCTAAACAGCCCTGTTGTGACCTACGTTGCTCACTATGATTAGCACCTTCAAAAATGAGCAGCCCTAGTACTTCAATAGGGCTACTATAATAAAACCGTATTTTCTGAGACTTCAGGGAATCAGAATCTGCAAGATATCCAATGTTAGTTTTATTGTTCTCCCCAGTATAGACGGGTGCTGGATCTCACTTACTCTCACTTATACTTTTGATTTACATTGATGGGAGATGAGAGTTCAGCCAGTTCTGTAAAAAGAATGAGTCCAGACAGAGATTCATCTCCACAATGTGCACAATGAGGAGGATACATATCAGTGAAGAAATCTCAGTTACTACTTTGTAATCATTTTCTTTTCCCATTTTATACAAAGATGATTATTGTACACCTCTCTTGCTTTACTACTGTACCAATTATAATGTTATATGTGCTATTCTTGAGATAATGAAGGAATGCAATAGTGAACTACTACGTAGTTTCCATTGTTCACAGACTAGTTAACCTGGCTGATAAGAAATACCACAATGAATATTATAAAAGAGACACAGACAATTTATTGCAATGTTTTTTACTTTATTATACCACACATCAGCAAAAGAAAGAGTTAACTCCTATCATCTTTAACAGGACTTGTACACTTGCCATGCCTGTAGTACACGTGCTCAAGGAAAGGTTATTTCTACTGACCGGTGGATATACAACAACGTTGGAATATACTGGAGGCAGTTATAGTTTGGATAAACTTATCCCAAGTATTTGTGCAGAGACACTTAGCAGAGACCAGCCCAATTCTGGTGTAGGAATATGGTGAAGTCTTAAATGATACTGTGAGCATGTGCCACACAAGCATGAAGACAAAGGCAAGATTACATGTTAGAACTAGCAGAAACTGATGCTAAGGAATGTTAGTCTCTGTTAGTCTGTCTATGCTGCAGCTTCTAAGGTTATCTAACAACGAATACTTGTTTAACTATCTGGGCACCAGACAAAATTTTTAAGGTCTGCTATGGGAATGTATAAATACAAGTGCTAGTGATCAGTCACACACATCCAGGGCTAAAACCTTCTTTAATATGCACAGCTCAGACTTACTGCTAGAGGGCTGATGAGCAGAAGCATGGCTAGGGACTGCAAATCTGCTCCATGCTTTCCCTGCTCACTGTTCTCTAGCCAAAACACAAACCAGGAAGGGGCTTGTCCCTCCATCGGGTCCCAGATCCCCCCTTGACTCTTGAATCAACCCCTCGACCCCTGGTTCTCTACTCTACTGCACCAATCAGCCCGAGAGCACTGGCAGGGTAGTGTGGGGGGACTGCTTCTAGGCTCCCTGAAGCTCACGCTCCTTGCTCCTCCAGCTCCATTAAATTATGAGACCCAGCACGGGCTGGAGCTGGGTGCACAGAGTTGGCATGGTCCACAAGGACCCCAGGAGCACGCAGGGAGGAGAAACTCCCCCCCCACAC